CACCCATCAGGAGATGAGAGGTCAAGGCTGCTGTGCCCAGTGCAGGCTCTCAGAGCTTTTGTGGAAGCCACCGCCTCCATGCGGCGGTCGGAGCAGCTCTTTGTCAGTTATGGTGGGACTAAGAAGGGCTGTGCTCCTTCAAAAACAGCACCTATCCCACTGGATAGTGGAGGCCATTGCCTATACATACAAGGCGAGCTACTGCGCTCAGCCATCCGGGGTGAAGGGCCACTCTACCAGGAGTGTCTCCACGTCATGGGCATCACCGAGCACATTCACCAAACACTACAGAGTTAACGTTGCCACCCCTCACCCACTGGGGAGGGTTCTTTGGCCAATTTACTCTGCCGGAGCAATACGAGGTAGTTACTGTGATTCCTCGTGACTCTGTTGATATAAGTCATCCAGTATTAAGCACTGCCTCTGGCGGTCAGTAAGGATGAAATAGAACGAAAGTTACGAATGTAACTATGGTTCTATGAATCCTGGATGACCGCCAGAGGTCTTGGTCACTCGGAATCCCGTGAACTCGCGAGAAGATTCCGTTGGACTGATCTCAGGATGACACCGGAACTTATAGACGACGGGGGGGGGGGGGTCATCCGAGGTCACAGCTGACTTTGTTGATATAAAGACTCGACCTGCGCATGCGCGAGACAGAAGATATCCAGTGTTAAGCACTGCCTCTGGCGGTCATCCAGGATTCATAGAACCGTAGTTACATTCGTAACTTTCGTTTTATAGTAACCAGTAGAAGTTAAAATTCCATTTTAAATTCATGAAACTTCCTGGAATATGAAGTCTACATTTCATAAGATCATTAGTTAGTCTCTGATTGGTGGAGACTCTTGGTCACATGGTTTACAAAGACCCATGTGTAGTGCTTCGCACAGGACTCCGACCCCGAGGAGCAGCAGCAGCAGAAAGTCTCGGTACTTGTTTGTTTCAGTCTCCTGCTGTTATTCAGTTTTCTCCAGTTGTGCTGTTGGTGTAGGATGTGGGTTCTGACTTGACATATTGGGCCTTCTCTCTCCCTTCCCCCAACCTCAGAATAGTATTCCCTACGAGCATCACGCCAAGTAGACGCTCGCCACGTCCTTGTGTGACGGCGGCAACACTGGGTGAGTCCTGTCCCTACAGCACCGGGGATGCATGGGTCCACATTCCAGTTCCACACTGGGCCGTCTCCGAGTCCTGCGTTCAGCCCTGGTTCCAGCATTCTGTCACTTCCACATGTGGTGTGCTTGAGATTGGATCAGCAGCATTAACAGTTCATGTAGCTGTGCCTGGAATCAGGGGTGAACACCAGTCATTCAGCAGTGAAAACGTGGCCTGAGCGAACAGTTGTTGATGTCATATTGCACTAAGCCATCACATCCACTTGGCTGTTGATGACATCATAGCCAGCCCATGTGTCATTGAACAGTCGGATGCTATTTGTTTTCTGAGCAGGAGGGTCCTCTGAGAACTGGAGTGGAGAATGCATCACGGTGCAGAGTCTGAGAATGTGACTCCCTCTTTGCCTCCTCTGGGTTGACGTATTGCCCCTTTAATCATCTCTGTGGCTTGTTGCTTGCGAGGTTGCTGTGATGCTTGATGGCCTCCAGCTATAGAATCCAAAAGGAATGTGCCTACCCACACCCAGCCCTCCAGCCTTGCTTGGTGCAGTTCACTGTTCTTTCGCCTGCACATTTCTCCCTCCCTGGTCTTTCACACTAAACACCTGCATGATATGAAGCTACTTATTTGGAAGTCAGCATTCAGCTTCGTCCCAGCTATGGCTGAAAGCATGTTATCAGCTGTCCAGACGGGGAACGGGTCGGTCTCACATGAGTCTATCACACAAAGACCGTGTCAAGATGTACTGTGGGTTTGTTGCTGGAATAAAACACTGGCAACAAACCTCCACACGACTACCAGGACGAAGACAGCCAGTGTATTTGTCCAACAGCTGAATCCCCTCATGGGCAACAACAACCCGTACCTTCAGGTGGAGCTGGTGTCACAGCCTCTGCTTTATTTCACTGTACTTTCCAGGCTTCGGGGGTGAGTCATGAATCTGAATGTTATGCATTGCCCAGGCAGAAAAACACCTTCACTTCTGTGTCCAGGGCAAGAACAATTCAGTTTAATTCACTTTTCTAAAATGAAGTACATTATTTTAAGATGCAGATTTTTCAAAAGCTGCCTTGTATGCATTTTATTTTTAAACCCAGCCCTCATTTTACTTGAAATGAGAGAAGAAAATGTATTATGTACAATATGTACAATTATACGAGTATGTATTATTTCTATTTCATCCAGTTCATTTTGAAAACTGACAATAAATATTGTTGAGATATGATTCAGCTAAACTTTCTTTGATTTGACGTCAGTTGTTGACTACATACAGACGTTGATACAACTGCTCGGCTACTTCACTACATATGGAACTAAATCATAGAACAAGTTCGACATTATTGTGATGATCCGGACCTTTAATGAGGAAACTCTAACTAGACCTCGCTGAATCGAGTTCATGCTGTAGAGCATAAGTATCAGAGTTCCCACAGTGCACAGTGAGGTCCAATCATCAGTTGTTCTCATGGATTTCACATCCTTAAACTGTGATGACACTCTGTTGTATAGTTCCGGTACATTTCCTGGATAGTGTACCGTGGCTCTCGGGTTCTAACAGTCTGCCAAATCAGCAGTTTCCACTAAACATAGTGGTCGATGAAGAAATTGAGCAGCTTCTCCCTCTCGTTGTCTGCTGGAAGTGAATCCTGCCTCTGGAATGCATCCCTGAGTGTCTGCTAGCATGAACTCATGGTGTTCTTATGTGCTTCATTAAACTGGTAGTATAGTACGATGCAGCTCAGGTTGTGGGCTTTACACACATTACAAGTTGTTGTCTCACTTTTCTGTTTCAAGACTAAAATATCTCCAAACTAAGGACATGTTAAGTTAGACAACTGTTAGCTCACCGTCTCATGTTCTCATGTTAACTCATATGCTGGGAGACAAGAAAACATCGGTACTTCTTCATATCTTGGTAGAACTGTTCAATTACTTACAGGTTCATTCATTTGATCGTCAACATTTCAAATTGCATTATTACATGTTTATAATGAATTAAAAACAGACTATGTAGGTACATGGATTGGTGACATCAGTCCGACACCCAGTGAGGTTTTGGGTGGTATTGGATCGACCCATCCCAATACGACACTGACATTTAACATTTATAATGGTGCCACTTTTCCATTGCACACATGCTTATCAAACAGTGTATACAAATGTTTACTTCTGACCAAAACTTTGTGGTTTGTAAAACAGTGGGAAACAAAGTAGAACATAGAACCTGAACCTGGCGGGTTCCCTCAGGGTATGGGGGGTTACGGGTTTCTGAGCCGCTGTAGTGGAAAAGAGCTAATATTAGCATTTCACAGAGAATGAGGACTGATTACTTCTGTAGTGACTCCACAAAGGGATCTCTTCACAGCCAGTGATGGAGATACAGGCAACCTCCCCCTGCTATTGTTACTGTACAGACTAGACAATGTCAGTGTATTTTGGATTGGATGCAACCAGGCATGGCTTTATGTAGCTCCAAACACCAAGACGCTCAGTTGCAAATGAAACGCATTCTTAGCCATAAAATGTGCAATGCTTCGCCGACGCTGTTAGCCAGAAATACTGTTCGTACAAATCCTTTTCCATGCTGGGTCAGAGCTGCTAGCTGTGGGGTTGGCCGACCCTTTGATACGATGTCCAGCTTTTATGGAAATGTCCTTCTCCAGAAATCCGTTTCTCCTCCTTCAGCCTTTGAGTGTTAAAAAAACAAAGCTAGGTTAAAAAAAAAAAAAAAAGAATCTACACCAAGCAAAATGCTAACAATGTCAAAACTTCTCATACATATGTTTCAACCTGAACTCTTAGTAAACACTAAGATCTGCTAGCTAGCTTTCTGTTTGACAAAAGTCACGCTAGCCCACTGACCAATCATGGCGCACGTTAATGCAGACGTACTTAGCAGGCTACCTGGGTAGCAGTGGCACGTCAAAGAATACGCCCAACATGTCAAACTAAAGATCTGATTGGTTGAAGACTATGACAATCAACAATATCGTCCCCATTTACTTAAACTGCAAAGTCTACCTAGAGGACCTCGGGCCTCTCTCCTTACATAGGGGCTGAATCTGATTGGATAAAAGCTCTCCTTAAAACAAGCTGTGCTGGAAGCAGAGCAACTGAGGAAGACAGTAGCTGTGCAATGAGAAAATAAGATAATGGGACAAATAATTAGAATACATGTAGTGTATTTGTGAAAAATTATGAAATAGCTATAACTTTGTGATTGTGTTTAGGCCAGCAGAGAAGGCTTAGCTCTGGCCCACCACTGGCCACTGATCATCGCACTCTTTGACTCTTTTTACTCCCCGTTTTCATTTCCTACATTGTTGCCCGATGCTGTAAGTCCTCTGGGATCTTGTTCCTTTCATCGGCAGTACTAAAGCATATTTCTCTTTATGATGGTATGAAATTGTCCCCTCACTGTCCAATTAGAAGATTTAAAAGAAGTTGAAAGGTATTGTTCAGTGCTGGAAGATATTGGGACGTTGTAAGCCCCACGCAGCCATCCCTAGTGACATGCCTACAGCTTCCTCAGTTTAGTGTGTTGTATTTGATAATGGAGTGTATGGACTGAACATGAGTATTATACGCTTCTCTGATTCTGTGGCTTGTGAATGCATTTCGACTGTAGATGTGTTAAAAGGCTACATTCATGTCGATGTAGAGCACACATAGCTTGTTGTTGGTTTTGACCTCCTGCTTCCTGTACTGCGTTTCCTCTAGATGGTGTCCGCCGTACCGACTGCTGGCCTCCATCTCCTAGCTCCTCGATGAGCCCCCACAATGCACCCTGGCGGACCAAGCACCGTTCACTCAGAAGCAATCCGTCATACTAATACTACCATTCATTACCACAACCACAGTGAGCTTCTGGCTCACCACAAACTGCTTTCTGACTGACTGCTCTCAGTTCTGTCGCCTCCTTCAGACGTCTACACTATCTCCCTCCCTCCCTTCCTGTTTCTGTGTGCTGGTCTGACCTACCAAAACATTAAACAGCGCCGGACCTCAGGACCCCGCCCCCCCACCACCAGATTGAATGGACAGTGCTTTGACCAGGGCAAACATGGCCGCCAGTCTTTTCTAGGACACTGACTAATGAAACAACAGTTGAGGTTCCTTCCTCTGCCCAAACGTGTGTCCTCGATGGCCCTACATTTCCACCGTCACTGTCTGCTAGTTCATACCTGATCAATAAAACCCCTTTCTTTCTTTCGTGCAGTAAAGTGTATGAATCTGAAGCAGCAGCTCTTCATTTTCTATAAATATATACATGTATGGGTAGTTTTTTGGGGTGGGATGCTTTTCACTGGTATTTGCAGGTTTCATTCCCCTCATTTTTTCTGTTTTCAGTTCTCATCCCTACTGATGGCTCTCTTCAGTAACTATATAGCCATGTGTATTAAATAAAAAGAAAGTACTTCTTTGCATGTTTTAGTGGTGAGTCTTCAGCGTCAGGTGTGTGAGGCTCGAGTGCTAGTTAAACCCATGAAGCTACCAAACGTGTGCTTTGGTATCTTGGGTGCAGGAGGTCTGTGTATTCACCATTAGTTGGCAGGATGTTGTGTCTGTTCACCTCCAGGCCCTGGTGTCCTGTCCGATGAGCCCTGTTCTTCTAGTGTTCTGTGCACTTTATGTGGGCAGGAGGGGGGCATCATCTGACATGTTGGACCAGGTGTTCATTCCCTTTGTACAGAAAACATTCTCATTTTTCTTCTATCATTTTGAAGCTGTGAATAACGTGTAATATTGATGTGTAAATGTGAGCTCATCTGTAGGGATGGGTCTGAACAGGACTTCTGGGCTCGGTCCCATAATGAGTACTAGTCCTCCTTCAGAGCCACGGGCTCGCTACAGAAAGCAGTGCACTGAATCTGAAAGACATTTTGTGTGACTGGCTTTGCTGTCACTGCTCTCAGTATTAGAGGTTCAGTGATCCGGCACCAGTGTGGCAAACTGCAATGCTGCCACGTCACTGAAAACACATCCTTTGTGAATCCTGTTAAACAATTCCTGAAATGATTCTTTGTTGAGAGGGAAGCTGAACAAATGTTCACAGCAGCACAGTTTGTTTTTTTCTCTTTTTTGTCCTTTCATAATTAAAACTGGTGACTCTTCTGGCTTTGATCACTTTGCCATGTCTATCGAACTGAAATGGTCGGTCATGGTTCATTCTGGCTGCTTATTCTCTTGTTTTGGATTTTGACCCTTGACCTCTTCGGTCAGCGCTGAACACCTAGTGAATTATGTAAGCGGCCAGATCAGCAAGATTCACTTTCTCACATTTATATTTGCCACTGTATTTGTGTACTTAAACTGTAAATAAATGAATTACTTGTATCTTGTTTGTGTCACTAAATAGTTCCTGTAGGAGCCATTAGTTATGCCTGTGTATTATATCTGTATATATTGGGAGCCTACCTCAGGTTGACCACGGGTGGCAGTGTGTATTAGTGTGGCAGGTAGTTGATATATGGGGCACAGGTGCAACAGACAGGTAATGATGCATGGGTGACGGGGAGATCACACGTTTTTTACCGCAAGCCAGACACACCAGAGGGAGACCATGAAGATAAGTTCTATCATATCATTATCTGTTAACTCTAATTAAACGGGAACCTCACCCAACAGTGAAAGAGTGGAATCTTTGTTGAAGCGAGTAAGGAACAGGATATTCTCCCGCACCCAGCCGAGTGGCTAGTTGCTGGAATCCAGGTCTGATCCTGCTGTCTCCAAATAACACTGATCATTCAAGGAGTTGAAACAGCAGTGCAAAGATGAGTGTGATCACAGTCCAAAAGATGTAAGCCCGTCGCTGAATGTCAACAAATACGCCATTTAGTCACACGTCTCCACAGAAAATATATGTATTTATTTAAACAGTCATCACATGCCAGCTCTGTGTTCAACATTCGATAGAACAGATGGCATCACACCAACACATAACACAGCAGGTCTCAGTGTGACGGCAGTAAGCACACCTTCACAGGAGTAGTAAAGTCAACATAGTACATACATTCATCAGCGAGTATACAACGCCAAGACAGAGACCAACAAGTCAAGTTTGTTCGAGTATCCCACAGACTGAAGTGTCAGGCAGCTGGAGGAAGTCTCCAAGTAGCTCAAAGAAACAAAGCGTTCCTTTAAGGTGCAGCAGTGGGTGAACAGCAAACCCCATGTGGTGACGAAGGTGTGGTTGAAAGCTTGAGAAAAAGCCAGTAAGTGGACCTTGAGTCGTGTTTTTTTTAGTCAACTTATCTGAAATCTTTAAGGTGGAGTAGCTTGAGTCCCAAATGGAGAAAACAGGATGCATCTGTGAATAACCCTGCTGAGAAAAGCTACACAAAACTGGAAGTGAATGTCTTTGTTCTGAACTGCGATGCGTGTCTGAGCCGAGAGTAGAACAGACATGGTACCAGTACCATGTATCAGATGTACCAGTACGGTGGGACATTTTCATACCCAAAGGAACAGTCGTGTACAGAATATGATCAGAATGTTGCATGGGAACCAATTCAGGCAAAACCACTTCCTCATAATGAAGTTCTTCATCACTCTGCTTATATAGAATATATCCGGAAATATAATTATTCACATTTATTTGTTAATTTATTTCTGTGTATATCTTTACATGTATATTAGTATTATTTTTGCATATAAATTGCTCTATTTTAGTCTGCATATTTGAACTAATTTATTTATTCATATCCCTTTATTATTAAAATGAACCAATACATGTGAAAATAAATGAAAATGCTTGTAATTATTTTATATTTTGACGTGTGCTGTCATATTTCCACATTTATTCTTTGATTTATATTACTTTATATTTGCTTATTTATTCTTTGAATTATTCCTCTTTATATTTCCAGATTTATTTCCTTTTTCTTTTACAGATGTATTCTTTTTCATGGCACTCCATTGGCCCTATAAAGAGCCCTCTTCTCTTCCCCTGTGTAATCTATACCCCTCACTTTCTGTGTGCCTCCATCCTCTTGGTGCACAGTGATCACTCGTCTTATTCTTCATAGCGATGTGTTCTCTATGCCCTGTTCTCCCCCATCTCCTTCACCATCATCACCTCCTCCCCTGCCTCCAGAGCACTTTCTTTTTTCTTTGGCTCCTCTTCAGCTACATGGTCTTCCTCACCCTCCACCCCACAGTTCAGCCCCTCCTTCTCTGCAGCAGTGACCGCCATCTCCATCTTAGCATCTGGATGCTCCTTTCTCCTCCTGAGGCAGAGGAAGTTACCCAGGGCGATGACAATGGCTGACAGCGTGACCTCGCAGCCCGCCAGCAGGAAGATGTGCATGTACTGATGGGTGGCATCCAAGAGGCGACCTGGTGGAGAGTACGAGGATATCAGCGTGAGTACTGGTTAGTGGTGAATGGTTCTCAACACGCTGGACTCATGAAATGACCCAGATACTACAGGGAGAATATTGAGAAGGCTGAGAAGCAACAATAAACTTTTCTTAAGTGGACATTTGTGTCATTATTATTATAATCATTTCTCATTCCAGGTAAAGAACACTCATTATGCAACATTTGTTAGATTACATTCTTTTAAATCAGGTAAAACTATTTAATAAAAAAATTAAAAGGTGGGAAAATTACATAATAAAAATGTGATGTACATAACAAACACATTTATTGTGTATTTTTGGCATGCCTGGCTACTTTACTTAAAGGGACCTAGTTTACTGTAAAAAGAGACTGTGACACCGATTAATCCCAACCGGTCAACTCTTTGTCAAAAATGGCCTTGCGAGGTTCAAAGCTGATATAAAACAGTGATTGGTGCGTTGAGCCATTATCAACCCATGAAACATCAGCTCTGGTGTGTTTCATCACAGAACAGTCATATTGTTTAGTTCACATTTTTTGTTCAAATTTGGCAAATCTCAAAATGATGATTCTTAAGATAACATTGTTTACGATTTGACACTTTATCAATCCATGGGATTGAATGAAGTATTCCACTGTCTCACACGTTCTCATGCATTCCCTCCATGCTCTGACCTGCTGCAGGAGGTCCCAGCAGTACAGCAATAGCTTCCATCAGTAGAACCAGGCCTATGGCGCTGGAGAACTTCTCCGTCCCGACAATGTTCATGAGGACCTCGAACTGCAGCGCCCCCACCATGCCATAGGACATACCAAAGAAGATACAGAAGACCACCAGACCTGGATAGTCCTTCGCCTGCACGAAGAGGAACAGAAGATTCCTGATCATGGTTTACAGAGGACATACATGTGATGAAGCTACAGACATAGAGAGACCTAGTCTAACTACACCAGTCTGACCTACAGTATTCATGGTTTATAGAGGTCATACACCTGATGAAGTATTGTTACCTGTGATCCTATGATGTCGGTGAACCCGTTGAAGAGCATAGCGAAGCTCAACAGGTAGACGATTCTAGGCCGAACGCACTTCAAGCCCGCTATGAGTCCTGATGCTGGCCGAGCAAACATGTCAACAAATCCCAAGATGGTGAGCAGCAATGCGGACGTTGTGTCCTCATAGCCCAGGCCTTTGGCATAGCTGACCACAAACACAGGGGGCACAAACAAGCCCAGCACCATAATAGACGCTGCTATGGTATAGATGAGGAAACCCCTGTCCTTGAACACGCTGAAGTCCAACAGTTTCTTCTTTGGCTTGGGCTTCTTCTCCTCTGCAGCCACGGGAATGCTTTCCTCCAGCTTCTTAGGGGGCAACAGGGGCCTCATGAGGGCCCCGCAGGCACAACAGTTGAGGAGTATGCCTCCTAGTATGAGGAACCCACCCCTCCAGCCGTACTTGTACTGGAGAACCTGCCCCAGTGGGGAGAGGCAGCACAGCGCCACAGGGCTGCCCGCTGCTGCCAGGCCATTGGCCAGAGGACGTTTCTCACTGAAGTAGCGATTCAGCATTATGAGGGACGGCTGGAAGTTCAACGCCAGACCCAGACCTAAGGAGAGACAGACCGGCAGCGTTACTTGTTATTAACACTGTGTAACAAAGATGAGTTCTCATCCGTCTCTGCATGAGGTTTGGTGTGACGATGAACCAGGAGAGCACAGAAACGTCTTGAGACAGGAAGCCTCTGTTGTTGTTTTGTAACAAAGGGCGACAGTAAACCAGACTTACTTTGCATTCCTTGTTTCATCTCATTAATATTTTGGCTGTTATATACAATCAATATATTGTAGAAATATAACTTTTAATACTTTAACTCAGTCCATACCAAAAAGTATAATTGAATAAAGTCTTTGGCTCAACATGGAAAAGTAAAGTGTGATTGCCTCGTGAAAGGTTCTGTGTATAAAGAGGACGACATGGAGAATGTTGCTATTCCTAGAGTCTTATGGTGTTGGAATGAAGTTCATCCTGAGCGTGGCGTTGGAGAATAAATCATATTGTCATAAAAATGAAACGTTTTTTTCCTGTGCTCAGGAAAGTCCATAAGACCGGTGGGCTGCAGAGCACCATCTGGTGGGCTGCAGGGGTACTGTCAAATGGTTCGAATTCTTTTTTTTTTGGTAAATTTAGAAAGCTAGTTATTTTTATATCTAAATGTGCTTAAGAATTCCCATAAATACATTTTAAAAAACTCAAATTATAATGCATAATTTCAATGACCAGTTATGTTTGAATATCATAGAGTCAGACGTGTTTGCCCCTGTTGGCTTGCTTCTTCTTTAAGATAAAAAAGGTGATGTGGGAGACAACCCTGCACCAGCAAGAGCTCAACCGTGTGTGATGAAGAAATATGATGTTGAATACATTATATTTGGATTCATAATAGCAACGCAGCAATGGGTGAGGGTAAGCAGAATTTTAATTTTGGTCATTACAGAACACATATTTACAGCCTAGGTTATTTTTTCTCTGTTTTCTGTGAGCCCTTGGTCTGGACCACCGCGAATGCTGACCTGGGGGTGGGACTAGAGTAAAGCTTGGGGGGGCTCAGGTTCATCCCCTGAGGAGCATGAATGTACTCAGTGAAGTCACAGGGCAATCTGACCATCACTTTGCATATCTCTTGTGCACCTATGATGTTGCCCAGATGGTGGCACTATAGAGGAATGGTCAGGGATGCACCAACAACATCAATGTTCCTCATCAGATTTCAATGGCAACTCTGGAGAGTAGCTGTCAAGAGATGCTGCTGTGGACCAGCACGAATGGAGAGAGAGACTAACAAATGATTACAGGGGCAACACGTTGCAATATTAGCAGCATGTTACTATATTTAGTGGCAGCTGATCAGCATCTGATTTGTTTTGTACCTGTGATGACTCCAGCGCAGAGGTAGATGTGAATGATACTGGTGGCAAAGGAGGCCAGAATCATTCCCAGCGAGGCAAAGAGCCCTCCAACCATCATCACCGGTCGACAGCCGAACCTGTTCACCAACACACTGCACACAGGGCCTGGAAAAAACCCACAATCAGTCCGTAAGCAAACTGTGCACACACACACACACACACGCGCACACACACGCGTAGTACGGTATTAACAGTGCATCCCTATCCTGCTCTACCTGTCCCATACAGCATGGCGAGCAGTATTGATGAGATCCAGGCCGTGTCACTGTAGCCGACATCGAACTCTCGGATCAGCTCCTTGAAGAAGACGCTGATGGCCTTGGGGAAAGCGTAGGAGAAGCCAGTGACGACGAAGCCGCCGGCCAACACCGCCCAACCCCAGCCACCATCCGGGGCCTTCACCCCGGGAGGTCCATCGTCCACCACTGCCCCGCCCATGATGCTCTCTGGATGCTCTGTCGAGGTCAGTGGCTATAAACACTGTGGTAAACAGACACAGACTTATCCTTGAACTTGTTCTTATGACCTTTGTTTTGAGAATTACTTCAGACCGTAGTCACGTTTCATGTTTCCTACGGTTTAAAACTAGGAGGTCAAACCATATGTCCATGTGTGTGTGGCTGTTACTTCATCAGTGCAGGGCAGTGCATTAGATATTGGTCATCCAGCTGCTGTTGTTAGAACTACTTACTGTACACAATGTATTTCTTTAACACATTTAAAACATGAGCTGACCAAAGTGCAAATATAGGCAGAATAAAGCAGGTCAACAGAGCAGAACAACAAAAACATGCATGAACTCAGGCACAGAAGATCGATGAGTAGCCTAATGCAACAGCTAATAGACAACCATTTAGTAGTCACACATAAGTACACTCAGAAGCCAAGTGTTTGGTTTCAGGGCTGCAGTTTGTGGGAGAGAGTGTGAGCCCCTCTTTAAAGACTGTGTGTGTTGTGGTCAGTGCAGTGAAGGGTGTAAATATGAGAACATGGCATGTTAACAGCTTGTCAGGATGGATAAAGCTTCCTCTTCAGCCAGAACAAACACGCAAGCACACGCACACACACGTATACACACATTTCCTCCTCAGCCCTTGATCTCTGCTGTTTCTCCTCACTTGTTTCTCATACATTGTGCTCCGACAATGGTGTTGAAAGTGTCAGGTCTGTGTAGTCCAGTGGAGTAAAACTGTTTGTTTTCTCTGCTATATTTGACCATATTACGTTACTATGATCACAATAAGTCCGTCTTTTATCTGTAACCTCTTATCCTTAGAGCGTTGACAGTGCTGTATTTGCTGAAGGCGAAATGTGCATCAAAATACATTTTGAGATGAAATAGTGTGGTGCTGCAGAGATGTTCATAGAGACTTAAGAAAACATCTTTGTTTGGAACAGAACCCACAGAAATCACACCGTAATCACTTTCATATCTTTTTCAATGAAAATAAGAGTAATGGTGTAAAAACGATCATTCCCTTTAATATCGCAAATCCTATCGCAATTACAATACCAGTCAAAGTAATCGTAATTACATATTTTTTCAAAATTGTTTAGCCCTACTTCTCATGGATGACATCTGGGATGCTTTTCTAAGGACAGTTCTTAGAATAACATTTCTTTTTACAATTAACACTAGAAATGATGAAGGCAAGCTGGTACAAACTGTAAACCATACTGTGGTGTTACATTCTGACCTCTTTACTAAAGATTTCATTTTTTCTCTTTAAAAATGAACTAAAACACTGTCAATGAGTAAGACCTTCGTTAAATAATAATGAGAATAAATAGCACACATTTGAACCAAACCCTCTAAACTAAAAAGAACTCTGGTTTAAATCAGCACGACTACGCTTAGAGGGAACCATCTAACCCCAGTCAGTCTTGAAAGAGGTCACCCCCCAACCCCACACACACCCCCACCTTTCTCAAATGACTTCCCAAATGATCAAATGATGAACATCAGAGAACATCACAATTTGGTGTGACAAAGTTCAGTGAGATGAGACAGTGAATGGGAAGTGAAATGCAGTGTGACTGCACCCACTGGTCCTCTGAACCCTGCTCTGTCCACACACACACATTTCCTGTCTGTTCACCAGATGCCTCAGAGTTCCTCAAACCTTTGCCAGGCACCCGACTCTACTCCACCCTGCACTCTGGTTCTCTCCTCACCCACACCTGTCACCAGATCCCTCAGTTAGCCCAGGCACACACATCCCACTATTTCACCTTTGCTCTGCTAGGTTGTCAATATTGCGTTCCAGACATTCCTGCCTGTTGCACTTGGTTCCTGTTCCCCTGTAAACCTGTGTTTTAGACCTGCTGCCGGTGTAGGATCTGTCTTCATCTCACGTCAATCATTTTTATTGTAGCCAAATGTCAGTCAAGCAGACAGACCAACACTCAATCTTTGTTTTGACCAACTTCCTGCCAATTTAACCATCACTGCCCCGAATAAAACTAGTGGACTGAAAAAACAATTGTTACCAAAAGTTTTAATTTGTATTTGCAATATTAATAGTTTATATAATAAAAGATTGATATGATGGGTTGGGCCCATGTATCGATACATTATAGCCATGCTAAATATTGTGATGCTGTATTACCCACTGACCTGAGCAAATATAGTTTAAATCAAAGGTGCAAGATCCAAGATTGGGAGCGTTTCGATCGCCTCTCAACAGCTCGTAGCTAACAGGCCAAATGTTAAATGCAGCTCCTTTAAAGCTAGTTTTACTGATATTATCTTTTTGTTGAAAATGTTGATTTTCAAACCCCATTTTCTTTTAATTCAGAATGTCCAGTTCCCTCTGCCCTGCAGCCATTGGCACTTGTAAACCTCCTGTTGGCCGGTGGAGGCCTCAGACAGACGTGTTTACCTCTGTGACACATGGCGTCACCAGGCCCTCTTTTTTACCTGCTATGGGAGGTTCACACTACTCCCACTAGTCGCCACAACAGCCAGTAAGAATCAGGAGTACTGCCAACTACCTTTCTCGAATCCCCCTTCCACAGGCCCACACACATCATACACACTTTCCAAGAATGCAGTGTGACCCATGCAGCATTGTGTCAGGAGGCCCACTAAAATAAGACCCTTACATTCCGCCCCGGCACACACACACTGATATGCAGATGAAAGGCACTTGGACGTTGGCCTGCATTGTGTGATAGAATGGACACAGTAAAACAAAGGTGACAATCTAACCCTGCCTGACAACACCATCAGTTTTGAGCATCTAACATATTTCTATAATGAATGCAACGCTCTGCCGTAAGATTCAACTGAACCTTGTTGTGGGTTGTAATGTTCAGATCTCTGTGAAATTATCTTGTGGAGCTTTAACAGCGGTTACAACACTACATGACTTTTTCGATCAGAAAATGATCTGGCTAAGTTGCTCAAGTCCAGCTCAACTTCAACTGTTTCTATACAATTGCCACTGGAGTGCCACAGCTGCAGATCTTCACATCATCCTCACCGTAATCAGTCTGAGAGCGTTCCAAAGACAAAGGCATGATGATGATAGGGACCCCAACTAACTGAAGCAGCCTACAGGTTGTAATTGAAGGGTTATGCCAGATGCTAGAAGTAAGCGGAACAGAAGACAATATAAAGACAACTTCTTTCTATAACAGTGAGCAAGAATCCCACACAAATCTGAAACCTCAAGCGATGCACTCAAAGGACGGAGTGGATTTCTTTGGCACAGGTATGATGATGGTGGCCTTGAAGCATGATGGTACAACAGCTTGTCTCAGAGAAGTATTAAAGACATCCGTGAAGACATCCTTAAGCTCCTCTGCGCAGTCCTTCAACACACGACCAGGGATGTTGTCTGGACCTGTTGCCTTGCGGGTGTTGATAGTGGAGAGTGTCCTCTTCACGCTGGCAGCAGACAGGCACAGAGCCTGATCGTGGGGAGGGGGCGGAGTCTTGTGTGGACGTGTGCTGTTTTGTGTTTCAAACCATGCAAAGAAGCTGTTGAGGTTATTTAGCAGAGAGATGTTGCTGTCGCAGATCTGTGGCACGGGTTTGTAGTCCGTACGGGTCTGAATGCCCTGCCACAGGCTCTGTGTATCTCTGCTGTCTTTAAAGTGACTGGTTATCTTATTCGTGTATTCCTGTTGTGCTTCCCTGATGCCGTGAGACAGGTCGGCTCTCGCTCTTCTCAGTGCCAGTTTCATCCCCTGCTCTGAAGGCGTTATTTCTGGCCCTCAGCAGCCGATGCACTTCCCCTGTCAGCCATGGCTTCTGGTTAGCCCGAGTGATGATGGTTTTTATATGGGTCACATCATCAATGCACTTACTAATGTAAGAAGTAACAGTGTCTGTGTACTCCTCAATGTCTGTGTGATTGTTGTATGTGGCTGCCTGCTTAAACATTCCCCAGTCTGTTGTGTCAAAGCAGTCTTGGAGAGCAGAGGAGGCCCCCTCTGGCCACACCCGTACCTGCTTCAGAACCGGTCTGGAGACTTTCACTCTTGGTCTGTATGCTGGCATTAGTAGGACGGGGTTGTGGTCAGAGAGTCCTATGTGGGGTAGAGGTGAGGCCTTGTACGCTCATTTGTGAGTAGTGTAAACCAGATCCAAAGTGTTTTCCCCTCTTGTTGGGAAATCAACATGCTGATGTAGTTTTGGAAGGACAGTCTTAAGGTTAGCATGATTGAAATCTCCAGCGAGGATGGTGAAGCCGTCTGGGTGAGCTGTCTGTTGTTCACTGATGGCCTGATACAGTTCACAAAGTGCCGCACTTCTGTCACTGTCGTTGGGGGTGGGAGGGATGTAAACAACGACTAGCAGAAACGCTGTAAATTCCCTCGGCAGATAGAAAGGACGGCACCTTATGATCATAAACTCCACCAGTGTTGAGCAGTGTTTACATACCACAACAGCGTCCCGACACCATGTCTCAACAATATACTATAGTATATATAATATAGTGTATATATATATATATACATATATTATATATAGCTTTTTATGACAAAGATTAAAATCTTTAACAACAACGTTTATTAAAGTAAACGAGGTGTACATGACTATAGCTTATAGCTTATAGCACGTGCCTGAGGCTCCGGTCATACACACACATGATCATGTCGACAGCTCCTGACATCATCAGCCTCCGATATGCAGCCGAGCACGTAGGCAGACCTGCTGCTGCATCTCTACCAGCACAGCCGTAGAAGGAGGTTTCATCACAGCGGCTTCATCAGGAAGCGAGCCGCCTGTCAGACATCCACCCCGATAACTTTGGTGGGTCTCGGTTTGGTGCCTTGTTCGTTGATTAGATTGATGTCAAATAACTATGTCCGTTTCGGTATTATTCTGTATTTTATAGCCTTCCGGTCTCTACACTAGTCACAGAACAGTGAGCGTAGCTACAGACCTGTCACCCTGAGCAAGAAGTACACGTTTAATAGAAAGCGCGTAGAGTTTTATAAAGAAACGTTTGGTCCCGCTGAGGAGAAAGTCCATTCCTACTTGTTTTATGGCCGCATTACACACCTAAACTATAGTGCTACTTGTTGAGGCGGGTTCGCTTCTCATCTATGGTCATGGTGTAACGCGACGGACAGACAGATGTGAGGACAGATGTTGACGCGATGCGTGCGGACAGACCCTGGTGGCCTACGTGAGGACCGAACCATAGGTCTCTACAAGCCTCCCAGCAGACTGTATAAGCCTGATCCGAGAAGGTCCAGTTCCACTGACCATCAGGCGACATCAGCAACAATAACATGCTTTAATAGCTTACACTGTCCAGAGGCTGAACATCTCTAATACATGTATTATAATACTAATTCATACATTACTATACTACTCTTTACTCACATCAACCTGTTACTCTGAACATCAGACTATAGGGTAACGCGGGGAATAGAATCAAAGAGGGCTCGGACTAACATAAACAAGAACCATTGATTCGTTTTATAAAGAAGTAATCACATGGGACTCTACCTGCTGAGATGCTGTCTCCCTCCTTCAGACGCGCTTCTACATTACCGCGTGAGCGCGCCTCCGTCGCTGGCTTTATGGTATACGGCGGCGCGCGGGAACCATCGTGTATTGCTGTAGCTGGGGAACAATTTGACAGACGGACGGTTGCCATGGAAACATTTGCATCACACAAGAACGAGCCAGGTTTTAGTTGAGCCGGGCTCGTTTTATGACATTGTAGCTAGCGTCCAGAAGAGCTCTTTGTGTGACTACGTGTGGTGTTGACTGAAGTATGGAGACGTACTAAGTGTGCAGAGAACACTGCTACAAAGGCTAGCTAAAGCTACTGTATTATGGTAAGGTAACTAAGCTAAATGTTTGTTAATACACAACTTTATTGACCTCGGTCAACGTGGCAGTGTCGCATCCCCGTTACTTACAAATAGATCGACGTTCAGCGTGAGAGCCTTTATTATGAGGTGTTTTGTGTGATCTCTTTTCATTCATTTGGCCAAATGTCCAATGTTTCTACTGCTCACCGCTTCTTTAGATTAGATTCGACTGTCATCTCAGAGATGGAGATCCTCTGATCTAAAGCTCTAGTTATGGATTGATGGACCTTTTATCTTATGGTTTATAAATCATGAATACAAATTAAAAACATTTACATTTGTTCTCAGAATCCAGTATTACAAGACAAAAACTTGGTAATATCCATTCACCAACTTCACCATGATGTTACAGAACCAATGTTGCTACAGGAGACAAGATGACTAATAGCATGAATACTACGTGTTGCAGCAGATGATGACCTATATTGTGGCTCCTATGTGTATCCCAGTTCCAGCATGCACTCAGACGGGGACAGTGGGCTGGGAGGCCTGGAGGCCCAGCTGGCCAGTAAAGAGAAGGAGTGGAAGGAGCTCTTGGCTGCAAGGGATCATCAGCTAGAGAGTTCCCTCAATAAGGCCCAGGAGGAGTGTTTCTCCCAGAGGTACTGCTCTGCGTCCACCTCACATCAGAAAGCAGTAAATGTGACGGTGCACCTCAGCTTTTAGCTGGAATATTCCTTTCGAAATGTAGGATTTGAGGATGTTCCCCAGTCTCTGACTTTCACAGGAACAATACCATAGTTGTGTGGATTATTGTCAGGGTGCAACACAATTATTTCCCCTTTCACTTAATCTGTTGATTATTTAGAAGTTAATTGATTCATCTTTCAGTATAGGAAATATCAGAAAATGGAAAAAAAAACATTGTCCATCACAATTGTCCCTAGCCTAATGGGACGTCTTCAAAGTCGCTTTTTTTTTATTTGACCAATGCAAAACCCAAATCTATTCAGTTTACAATGATATACAACTGAGAAAAGCAGCAAACCCTTATTTAACAATAATGTTTAGCATAATTGCTTGATAAAATACGGAAAAGATTCATTGATAACCAAATAAATGTTCTGCCTATCAACCGACCCAGCAGTCGTATCAGCCTAGTCTTCCGCCATGTCTTCTCTATGTGCCTATCTAGTCTGTGGAGTGTGAGACTCTTCTCTCTTTGGATGGAAAGTGTTTTGTCTCTTGACTTTGTGTAAAACAGAGTTTAGTTGTAATGAAATAGAATTAGAATTGCTTCACCTGCTGAAGTGTTGTGTGTGAAAGGATGATGACATAACAACAGGTAGAATATTTTAACTCTTACCCCAAGTGAGAAAAGAACACATTTCCTCACCTACATGTAATGATATCTATGCATGCAGATAGCTTATTTGCACAGGCTTTGAAATGTGTGTCAGAGATATCGACCTCCAGCCCAATACAATGGAGGTCTGTGGATTATCAAGAGTAACCAGGACATTGTATCTGGAAAGACTCATTGCTATAGCATGCTATTGAAATGTTTAAATGTCATTGTCAATGGCGTGAGCACCACAAGCTAAATTCTATCCTCCTCCACTGTAGTGGGGTGGAGGCAGGAATGTCAGAGAGATATCTCACAGTCTGAACAAACACAAACTCAAACACTGGGCTTCATGCAAGACACACTCATACTAACACATTTGTTCTTAAGCTAACGAGGATTTGTGTCTTTGACCTTATTTTTTAGGTACAACCAAAATTCTTGAGGGGTTCAGACATTTTATATATTATAGATATGCATCTATTTTTTTAGCTACTTTTATGCACATACAATTTCAATAGTTGTTTATTTTCGCTTATCTTTTTGAACCATTGTTGTCCTTGATTTATCTGTATTTCTGTCTGTCTAAATGAAGACTTGGACTTCATGCAAAACATTTTCATATTCTCACCCTAAATCTCTCTTTTACTGTGAGCTTTGCTGGTGCGAGCATTTGAAGATGAACTTCTCTCTTGATTTATTACCTCAGTAAACATTGTAAACATGAGTTTATGGTCTCAATCTCTAGTTTCAAGTCTTCTTCAATACAGCATGATGTTCATTTAGTACATTATGGTCCATTTAGAGTCAGACAGACCATAAAGCAGGGGATGCTTTCCCCAGCCTCACCTGATGCTTCCTGTCTGTCATCAAGTCATTGATCCACTGTGAACTTATAATAGAGGACTTCTGGTATGAAGCCGGTTGCCCAGGCTGCTAAACAAGCTGGAGATGTTGCCTCGATCTACAATTCTATTTTCAATATAACCTCCAATCTGGATATTAGATTCAGACAATGTACATCAAATATGAAATGCTTTGTCCAGGGTAACAGACTCATTAACGCTAACTGCGCTAGCTGCATTTGAAAAAGTTGCTGCACCGCAGACATTAACAACTACATTGATAACAAAGGATTTGAGGGCGCAAAAGACGTGGCATGTATCCCAGTCCTTATCTGAAGAAATTAATAGTTTATTCCTCTTTTTCTGTATTCAAGGCATCGTTTCAAACTACTTGCCTTGAAAAGAGAAAAAGAGAAGCAAACTATTTATTTGGAGTATTAAGTATCTTTTGCCTGGATGTGCACACACTTGGTCCCTCTTCCACAGATAGAAGTTGGACAGCGCCATGTGTGTGCGATGGTTTTAATGACACACAAATAACATACAGCTTTCACTTACTGTCCAGCCAGCCATCTTGGATTTTGAGGTTGGAGTTTGTGAGGTTCTGCCGACTTTCCGAGGTGGAAATCTGACTTCAGGGGGCTTTCAAGTTGAAATTCTGACTTCCACATTGAAATGGAATGCCCCATTAGCTTCTAAACCAACCACCTGCCTCCTCCTACAAGCTAAACTTTTTAAAGATCGTTGGTCATTTCCTAAAATGCAGAATGTACTTCATTTGTCATTTACAAATAGCTCTGTCCCCACGTGCCTTAAGTCTGCTGTGGTTCAACTTTTACTTCAGAAACACACCTGTAGATCCATGGTCTCTGGATAAGAATCGACCAGGTTCTAACCCACATATTTAAGAGTGATCTTTTTGAACCTTTTCAGTCTGCTCTCAGGTGCTTTCACTGCTCTCCACTGAAGCTGCACTTACTGAAGTGGTGAAAGAACTTGTGCTTACTATGGATTCAGATTCCACATCAGTGCTTCTATTACTGGATCTCATTGCCGTTTTTGATACCATTGATCATTGTATACTCGTAGACCGACTGGAAAATCAATTTGCCGTCTCTGGCCTGGCTCCCGCCTGGTTAAAGTCTTACCTATCTGAGAGAACTCAGTGTGCTCCTTTCATCCAGACTGAACGTTTCCTTTTTTAGTCCTAAAAGTGACTTGACTTTACTTACATGAAGTGATGTCAGTCTTTTTGAGTAAAGTGATGGCCTATGAATTCTTTTGTAACACTTCATTTGTCAGAGAACGTTACCAGAAACTCAGGGAAGATTTCGAGTTCAACCTGGCCATCCTGGATGAACGAGACAGAGAGCTGGAGAGATCCGACGTCCTGATGGCCAGAGCTCTGACTGTGGAGCATGACAGGTACTCTTCATCTCGCTCTGCTCAATCCAAACTCATGTGTAACATGAAGATGACAGTGAAATGGAAAAAATAGGAACATATTTGCATGTAAAATAGCAGTAGAAGATAGCACTTAAGAAAATGTATGAAAAATCTATTCAAAACTAAAATATAAAATACTCAAATATATACATGCAATATATGATAAATGAAAAGAAATGAGAATGTGAGAAACAACATAACTCAAGAATTGACAATTTGACCTAAATGTCTAATAGAACAAATTATTTTGGACAGACATGGATGTAAAGTGCTACTTGGTGCTACTGGTTGACTTTTTGCTTGTGTTCTTTGTATGGAAAGTGTTCCCGTCATGGGAAATACACTTCAAATCAAGTGTATTATTGTCATTATTATTGATATTATTATCATTAACAAATTATGAAATTGTCATGGATTAATTGTGTGTTGATTGATTTCAGCAGAAGCAATAATCCAGTGCTTTATGCATTTCATTAAAGAGTGTACAGTAACGTCCCCAGCAGACACAGCAGCTATCTAGATGGACTGATACTGAAATACTGGTGTTATTTGCAGGCAGCGGGAGCTGAACCGGCTCCGTGTGCAGGTCTCTGAGCTGGAGAAGCAGAGAGCCACAGAGACTGAGGAGAGGCAGGAGCAGCTCAGTAGAAGTCGTCTGCAGCTGGACGAGCTCAAGCGGTGAGTCAGAGGGAAGACACTGAGAATAATGTGATAAATGATGGCACACTCTGAACTTACCATCATAACATGGCCACTGTCAACCCCAGCGCACAATTACAATGAAATGCCTTAGCTTCATGCAGTATTTGTGTTGTTTTAAATCAAACATAAAAACAAAGTTGGAGACTGGGCTTGAACTAGGCTCCATATAAGAGTCCAGCTCTGCAGTCAGCTCTGTGAGCCATTGGGAAGAAAGAAGGGAGGGCCACTTCTGTAAGCCGGCTTTTTCATTTTCAGTGTTTGTTTGAATTAATTATGTGTGTCTGCCTTCTAAATGGAAACATGAAATATAAAAATGAACAAACATATTTTCTATATGTTTTAACTCCTCCGTGCTCTTAAGTAAAGGTTGCTGTGACAGGGGCTGTGTTCTGGTCCTTTGTGGGTGGGGCCTATTGGCACCAGAGGTGTGAGGGTTAGGACCACCCAACGTGTCTGTGCAGCTGGCGGCGGGGCCATCCAAGGCTACATCCACTAATGCCTTTTAGTTTTAAAACACATTCTTTTTGCTACGCTTAGCGTCCACACTACGCCGGTGTTAAACCCCTAAAACAGAGACTTTTGAAAACATTGCTGACCCCGTATTAGTCCTTGGGGATCACATCAGCCGTCATCACATCAAGCCTGCGACACGGCAACGCTGTAAAAGCCGCTGATAGACAGGCCTCAGGTCTGTTTCACTCGTTGCTGTGGAAGCGTCTGAGTAAACTACAGTCACGTACACGGACACGGCTGCAGCGCTCGCCTGTGTAATGGTTGTCTTTTCTAGGTTAGGCTGCAATAGTAATGTGCGTGATTGATAACCTCTACAGCCTATACTTCTACATAATTCTCTTTCATAATGTGCTTGGATATTATTTCTGGCCTACACAATTCAAGTAATGTTTTAATACAGTAATTATTTTACACATTCATAATAAGTTATTTTTTTGACACCAATTAGAAAAACGTCAGTTCCATGCTGTAAAGAACTGTGCTCCACTTAAATGTGCAAAATAGGATGAGGAAAACATAGGTCATCTCAACATCCTTCATTTTGAACCATTTTGCTCATTTCAAATCTAAACTGACCATGTTCTTTGCTCACAGAACATATCCCGTCAGATCCTTGCATCCCTCCACTGGATGCAGATCTGAAGATTTTAGACATTACTTACTACTTTTAACTGAAATAAAAATACATTTTCTAAGAATTACTGTAAATGTTGTTTGTTTGTTTTGACCTCCATACAAATTTGGTCAAAATGGTCATTCCCAAAACTCCATCTTTACTCTTTGTTCATTTTTTGCCACAACCCCTAAATTGAAGTTCTCCAGATGTGTTGGTACTGTAAGGCAGAGATCAGAGGAGTGTGTGTATATTGCTAGTGGATTCAAATGGTAAAGGAGATCAACACTGAGCCTTTTTCTTACTTGGTCAATGTCATGGTACTGTAACTTAGTGTGTGTGTGTGTGTGTGTGTGTGTGTGTGTGTGTGTGTGTGTGTGCCCGTGTGTGTTTGTGTGTCTTGTTGTGACTGGAATGTAGCTCTAAGGCTGGTGAAATTCAAAAGCAAACTGAGGAGTATGAAAGGATGAAATGGGATTTGCGGTGCAGAATACAAGAGGTGGAAGGAGAGCTGACCCTACAGAGACAGGTGAACACACACGCACACACACACACACACACGTTCATTCCTCTGAAGGTCTGAATGTCCCATGTCTATATATAATGTTAGCCATGTATATATCTGTTGTTCACAGTTGTGAATAAAACTATCACAGCCCCAGAATAAACAATCGATATGACTCTGTAGAGATGACATTGGGCTACTGACAGATAAGTGCAGCTATGCCATAGAGCAACTCTATATCTTGTGTTACAGTTCTCTCTCTGTGCAGTGGAGAGGACTGACATAACGGGTAGAGCAGCCAGACATTGAGAGGGGATCAGCAGACCTTTTAGGATGAACCCACATAAGAGAGCTCGGACTCTCACTGGTGTCTGTTCCACTGAATTAGCTGCCTTTGTTATAACTTATCATGCACAGTACATTTCCAGGAATGAGTGTGTGTGTGTGTGTGTATGTGTGAGATGCTACATATCTGTTTGCCAGGTGATAAATAGGAGGGAATCTTGTCCGCTAGTGTTTCCTCTTGTGCTCATTAAATGACAGCATAAAAGCTTTGTTAGCATCCTCATTTACTGTATCCATAATGAAGAGGGGAGCTCAGTAATACTGGAAAGGACAAATGACTTATTGTGTACAATTGTTTAAATTGAACTGTACATTTGACTTGTTTCCAATAAGTTTGTTTTAACATTGTGTTGTAGCACAAACAAATTGTGCTACATTTGAGCAGTTGTCTAATCTTTTTCATATCTGTACAATGTGCTCTACTAAACGTTCATTCAACCTGAGTTTGCATGCTTGACCTATATGAGACTGCTGTGACTCGTGGAGATCTGGTTCAGAGGTGGGAGACACACGGGAGTCACTCAACTACAACATAACAGCAAAGAATGAAAATGTATTGACACTGAAAATAACATGTATCAATAAATAATGTCAGTCTGACAAAATAAGTGGCAATGGTATGCAAACAGTTTCATCATGAATTCTCTGACCCAACACATCTGAGGCTATGTTCATCTTTACTCTCAGTTACTGCTTTAACTCTGATTAATGTTCATTTTGAGTGTCTTTTAGGAGGATATTATAATTACACAGTGTTAACAGTGAGTCAAAATATAAATTAAAACGTTTATTTTATTGGCAAACTGAAGATGGTATATGCTGTCAAATGAATTGTAATAACTTTCTGTCTGTTTAGTGTTATACCTGTGGACATGTCTTACACATTCTGTTCCTTCCTGACACAGAGAGGATTGTTGCTTCTTCTATTTGGTTCATGTTGTTTTCATCAACCGTCACTGCATCCACTATCAAATGTTGGAGAGCAGTGATCTCTTCTTGATTTGTGCTGTAAAGTAATTTAAGTTTGCCCTGTGTAGCAACCAAGCAGAATCTGAATCAGTACCACACAACACAAAACACAAAGAGGAGGCTGCTCGGACCGAGCTGTGCTTTGGGATGTTGTGTTTGTGTTTAGTTCCAGCCTGTGTTTAATGATGAATCTGTAATGGATCTCCTCTGGTCAACAGGAGATGACAGCAGCTTCTGACTGTGAACTCAGAGAGCGGGAACATGAGTTCAACTTGAAAATGGATGAGATGCGCACTGTGGTGCTGTCTTGTCAACTAAAGGTGAGGAGAGTGAAAGAATGCTGTTTCTCTGTAAACAAGATGTAATTTTACTCTAGTGACAAGTCCATCTGTGTTGTCTATAAATACCAGTAAGTTGGACAGAAACACTCATGTACTCATACACATATATGCAAAGTCGTTCTGTTATTCAAAATTCACAACTTGTTTAAGTATCCAGACTATTCATTTATAGTTTAGTAGTATTCTAAATCTAAGTAATCCATATAAATATTGATTACATGATTTTCTTGTTGACCTTTAATCTTCGAATGGCTAGTCCTTCACACCAAACGTCATCATAATTTGTCTGTCTGTGTGTGTGTGTGTGTGTGTGTGTGTGTGTGTGTGTGTGTGTGTCCTTGTCCAGGTGAAGCTGCTGTCTAAAGAGACTGAAGTTCACCTCCAGGCTCAGCATCAGTCCACAGAGGCTGTCAAAGCTTCTAAGGAGTTCTGTCAGCAGATACAAACCCAGCTGTATCACAAAGACCAGGAGATCAAAGACCTCACCGCTGTCAAGGACCACAAGTATGCTCCTGTACGGTGTGTCTGTGTGTGTGTGTGTGTGTGTGTGTGTG